AATTACGTTCAACCATGAATAAATTATCGATAAAGGTTGAAGTACTCATCAGTTTGCTTTTAATATCCAAGATTTTTTCAAAGGAGGGCAACAGCGGTAGGGAGTTGTGAGTAAAAATATCTTAATTGTGTATTTCATAACAAAACAAACTGAAGGTTACAAAAAGTGTAGTTCTACAAAATATCCACACCTCCCCAACAGAGGAGATTTTTTCTAAGACCCCACACCCCTCTGGAAATTCCAACAACACTTCATATATTTAAGGTTTTTGGCCTTACAGTAACAGAAACCCCCACCCCTGCACCAAGAAATTCCAATCCCTTCTGTGGAGGAATTATGGATATTTTCTGGAACTGCACAATTATAATTAATATATTATTACAAATACTTTATTATACAATGCTTCAAAAGTTAAAAATCGAGTATTAGCTTTCATGTTCCTTACCTCTTTGCTTCACTAAAGCTAAGAATATTAACTGGATGCAATCCTTGAGTTTCTTTACCATCATATGTCCATTTATACCGAACATACCCAACTTCTACCTGAAAATGGGCATTTGATAACAAATTGTCAACAAACAAGTCCAGTCACTAACATTATTTGTAACTACAATGGTGCATTTCTATAGACATGTCTGTTTTACAGCTGATATCAAAGATACCTAGATTTCATAGCCTGAAGCTGGATCAGTGTTGGCATATTGGTACTCGACAGTCTGTTACAAACCACTGGTGTGGCGCTTAGCCAAAGAAACTTCAATCTTTATATTTGTTAACAATGTATAAAACCAGTTTATAATAACAGATTATGAAAAAAGGTTTGTTCAGATGAGGTCATGAAGTTTCTGAAGCGTAGCTCCTGGGCCGGGTTGCTCAGAGCCCGATTAAGCTAACCCAGGAAAAGGTAGACTTTTGATTTGAGTTTTGTTTTGTGGTGAGGTTTTCTGTATATTGTTTGGCCTTCTGTTTTGAGTTTTAATAATCACCATATACACAAAACAAAGCAGCAAAAAACATGTGTATAGAAGAAAAAGTTATAATTCGGTTAACTTTTAATCCTGGGTCAGCGTTAACTGGCTTCCGAACAATCTTGCCCTGTTTTCAACAAATTAACCTGACATGAGCCCGCAATCCAATTAAAAACCAGCACTTGGTCAGTGGTCAACTTCAAAAAAAACAAGTGACCTCGATGAGCTGAAAACTTGAGCCTGCGATAAAGTCATGTGATACTTGTCAGCAGATACCTTGTTTTGACAGGTGTCAATTGATCAACATGGATGTCCACTATCAAAGAAGTACAGAGTAAACCAAGGTTGCATGTCTCTGTCAACCTATTATTTGGATTGTGGCCGCCATGTTGCACAACTGTCGCTGTCGCCGTCGTGCGTATGTGCCCACGAGCAATACCACTAACCATGATAACCATGAGAAAATCAATTCAAGGGTTTCCTTTTCTTTCCTATATGAGTATGGGGCTTCGCTTGGTGGTGCTTCGGGCTGGCGGAGCTTCACTATTATAATTATGATTGTGATCGTGATTGTGATTGCAATTGAGATTGCAATCGTGATCGTGATTATGATTACAATTATCATTATGACTGTAGCCAATCACAAATTTTGCAATTAACATTTAATCTCAATGTAATAAACTATACTTACATCTGAATAATTAAGATGTACAGCCAATAGGACGTCTTCGTTTACACCAGGATCTTTGGGACTGAACTTCATCATCATTCTATTGGCTGCAAGTTTTTCTTCAGGAGCAAAAAAAATCCATCATATTAACTTTAACAATTAGATTACAACCCAAGTTTTCTATGAGCAAATAGTCAACAAGGCATAGCCAAGTTGACTACTAGAAAACAAAGGCAAGTAGTTTAATTGTTTTTATTAGTAGAGACTTTAAAGGATTACAACAGGAAACCTACAATTCTGCGTATTTTTAGGCATATGAGGCTCATTTGGTCTTGCCATGGGTATTTTGGACCATGTCTTGACCAAACTCACCTGATATGCTGCCAAAGTGTACCAAAAAGGTTTGTTATACCTCCCAACTCAAATGCGTTTTCCAATTGGAGGAGAACGTGCCACGTAAAGTGGGTCAAAACTCCTTAGGGTGAACAAAACCCACCAACTCCCTATGGAAACAACAACTTGAACTTTCGACTCGCACGTGATCAGGTCGTGGTCCTTGAAACCGTGGCAAATTTGTGAGCCAGCCAGCATCAAGCAAATGACATCTTTGCATTTTTTTTCTATTTTTGAGTTGGGTGGTATAACAAAACACTTAATGACTGGTCCCACGGGAAACAATGACTTTTGTTTCCCCTAGACCTCAATGTTCCCCTTGGCTTCACCTCAGGGAACATTGAGGGTCTGGGGGGAAACAAAACTCGCTGTTTCCCTTAGGGCCAGTCATCAAGTGCTTCATGATTAGGTACGAAAGCAGTCCATTTAGCTTGATCACAGTAACTTTACCACATATTGAGACTGGTAAGAGACCTTACTTATCAAGAACACAGGCTGACAGGCACCATGCGACAAATGCTTATTGACCAAGTATTACAAGTTACCAACCTTGAACATGCACTTCCAATATCTGCACAAGAGTACTTCGAGTGTTTGATGCAACAACTGATGCAATATACTTCCCAGGCCTGAATAATATTAATAACATTGGCATAAATGATGTTCTAGTTAAAGAAAAGCATATCAATGATTTGGGTTAACTATCATGGTAGTTAAACTAGTGGAAAAAGCAATAACCCATAAGGATGTGAAAAAAGTTGTTTCACTACTACACCACTACTGTTTCACTAACTGTAAATTGCTCCTCTGGCCACTACCAAAATGAAGATAATGCTATTAACAAAACTCAGCTATGAATCCCACACGGAATTCACTCAAGGCTATACTCAGACTGCTACAGGTAGAAAGCAGTCTGCCATTTATTGTCTGGGATGTCAAAAACGACAAAAGTATGGAGGAAGAGAGGGCTTAATAGATTTCTGACACCGATTAGGAGCCTTATAAGACACTGGGGATGTACAGTGATTTTGTCTCCATAAGGCTTTTTCGTGACAGCAAACAATAAGGTAAAAGGTAAAGCCTGCATACAAGCCAAGTTGCCCATCAGGCCAGAGCTTATTTCAGTTTACATACATACAGACATATATACAGACAGAGTTTCCAGCTGGAGTTTCTTGATGTTATATTTACTAGTATTTGACCAGACGGTTCAGCAGTAATATAGTGTACTGAAAACAAAGGAACCCATAAGGAAAAGCACTGTTTTGTTATCTAGCAAATGTTTGATTCTATTTATTTGTATAAGTTTATGAAGGCAGGTAGAAACTATCTTAGTAACATGTTCATTATAAGTCAACGACTGATCAAGATAAATGTCAAGAACATCGGCAACAGGAATGAGTGTGATTTCTTTTCCGAGCATCCAAACAGATGTTGTGGGCAGCTGATGAAGAAGTTGAGGCACACCAATCATTAAGACTTAAGTCTTATCAGGGTTTATCAATGAAGAATTTCGACAACACCATCTGGAGACACTTTGCAGGTCTGCATTTAGATTGTTGATTGCAGTAGATATACCGTAGTTTCTCGGTTATAAGGCGCACGGTTTTNTATCAGATGACGAAAAGGACAAGTACAGTTTAGAGTCATCAATATAACAGGCTGATTTACAGTAAGAAGGGACAGACAACAGGACATTTACATAAATGGTAAATAGCACTGGCCCTAATAATGACCCCTGAGGAACTCCATATTTCAATGGAGGAGCATCAGAGATAGCATCTTGGATGCGTACTCTTTGCCTGCGGCCAACGAGGTAGCTATGGAACCAGTCAAGACTTTGGGAAGAAACAACTAGCATTTGTAGTTTCTGTAATAAAAAACCATGTCTAATACTGTCAAAGGCTTTTGATACATCAAGTAACACCAGAGCAGAGATCTCTTTATCATCAACCGCCTGCACCAGTTCATCTGTAACATGGAGAATGGGGGTTTCAGTTGAATGAAGCTTGCCGTTGCCACTTTGAGTTTAGGCCAGCTTTTTGCTTGCTTTTACAAACTCCACAAACTGCCCATGAGCCAGACTCTCCAACACCTTTGATAATACTATATAGGCAAAAGAGACATTGGTCGATTGTTGCACGGATCTTCAGGATTACCTGATTTTAGGATAGGAGTCACCTCAGCAATTTTCCATGCTCTTACAAAGGAAGAGTTGTTCATAACACTTGTGATCGATGGAAGAATTACTGGTAGGCTGTCCTTGAGTACTCGTGCAGAGACTTAATCATAACCAGGTGCTTTGTTTGAAGGGAGGCCTTAAGTAATGCACTCCACATACTTATCTAGCACTGTGTGAAACTGGAAAGCTTCCGAACACTGACCAGGTGCGGGTTCCACTGTCGACATTCTTTATTAAGTATCAAAATTATGCTCAATAGCAAGGTCACAAGCTTTCTGAGCAGTCTTACTCCCCACTGATATAAAGTATTTCTTGAATTTATTGGTCAGAGCAGATTGATTTTCAGTTGTCAAGGGAATTTTTCGGCTCTTCGTTGGCATACAGTTGTTGATGACCTTCCAGATGGCATCGGTGTTTCTTTTGCTGTTAAGCAATTCAGTTCCCACATGAGCTTTTTCCATGTATCTTAACTCACACTTAACTTCCTGTAAAGTTTCTGTAGCATGAAGTGATTAAGAGTATTTCTACTTCCCCTAGATGGGATGGTAGTCCATCACAGGACTATCCCAAGCATTAAATTTGCTGGTACCCATTTATACATCTGGGTGGAAAGAGGCACTGTGAGAGAAAAGTGCCTTACCTGAGAACACAACACAATGTCCCCAGCAGGGTTCGAACACAGACCACTCGATCCGGAGGCGATCACACTAACCATGAGGCCACCATAGCAGTATTTATATGAGATCAGTTGGCTTATTTTTAGCTTGTCCAAATTTTCCATGCTTGAGTGTATAATTGTATTCAAAATAAATGCAGGCAAGGGTTAGTTGCATCTTTCAACCATTTGCATTTGAGTTTGTACCAAAGACTTGTGTGGTTAATTAAGTGGATCTTACTTGGAATACACGTGCTGCTGAGTGGCAAATTTTATTCCTGTCCCTTTTGCTCCTTGCCCATCTCCAAAGAACCACCTGATTACAAAGCAACATGAAGACATATTAATGACTTTTCTGCACGTTCTTCACAACATTGTTCAACTTTCACCCACTATATTGGTTACAATATATTTTTTCACCAGAATTCAAGAAGTAGACATGCGTTTCCCACAATTCAGTAAGTGTGAAGCTTGACAAAAACATCTTTTATTATATATGGCTAGCCCCATGAGTGGGCAAGTTAAACCAAATCCAAGGTGGAGCAGGGTGAATTTTACGTGGCAGTTTACATATATGATATCCCAAGTCTTGCCACATGGACTTTCATCTCTCTTACACTCCAAATGAAAACCAAAGAAATTACATGCACTTGTTCTAAGCAACACTCCCAATAGAATAAAGAAATTGTCAATCAATCTTTTATCAAAGGTTGTGTCCTGACTGAAGGTATTTCAAATCGTTCTTACAAGAAAATTAATCATGACGTTGTTTCACAACCCTCACCTATATGCAATATTTGGCTGATATGCTTTTGCAAGAGAAGCAGTGAAAGACACCTTGGCCCCAGTTTCAACTGCAATATTGCCATCTTCAGTGACATTGTTACCTTTGCCTGTTAGGGTTAAATTTTGCAACTCTGCAAAAAATAACACACAGTCTGATAAAGGACACTGTATCCTAAACATGCTCTAAGTTTAAGGTTCCAGTGACTCATGATAAATATCTATCTTGTCCAGAAAGTACATATATTGCAAGCTAGAGTATGCTCGATTACATTGCTAAAACAACTCTAATTCAGGGCTAAAAACTCGACTCAAAATCAACTCCATTTCTGAAGCTGTTTCTGTTGGCTCCCTTGACATCCTCCTCTGTTCAAGTTCCCTCATTACATAATAGCTAATAAAGGAAAATAGTTATCAGGGCTCCAAAAAAGTACCGCCTGGTTGTCCTAGACATGTAAATTTTCCTGCTTGGCAAGCAGCTATACTGTACATCTTCATTTGCCTAATGGGCAAGGGATCAGGCATGTCGTTGGTCAACTAAATCAATTAAGAGCAAACTAAGTCTTACCAACGGCAAGCAAAATTTGAGAGCTACCTGTCCAAAGAGCAAGCTGGAGTCAAGTTTTTTTCGAGCCCTGGTTATGAACATAGTAAAAGGCTATCTATACCTTTGATAGGACAGGGTGTCGAAACTGGCAAAAAGTCTTTCTCAGATCCATTTACACACGTGTCTCCTTCGATCTTACGGAACCTAACACATAATAAGAGAATGTAGAATTCAAGAGAGGATGATGTCAAAAATATACTTACAGTCTACTCAAAATTTTCTCCCAAAAACGTTTATTTTATCAATAAAGATTTATTTCTACATTTAATTTGAACTTCCAGGGGTTTCATTAAGGGCCGGGTACTGGGCAAATTGACTGACTGTAACATACCAGGGTGCATACAATAGCCACACTGCTTAGATTTTCACCTGTTTATATATGTCCTCAGAAAGAGCAGATCATGATTACGTTGGTGACACAAAAATGCATACAGTCAAACCTCTGGTTGCAACCACCTCTCCTCAGCAACCAGTTTTCCAAAATACCAAAAGTTTCCAAGTTAAATCACTATTATTTGGAACCTCTTGTAAGCAACCAACCTCTCCTAAGCCATCACAACCACTTTTAGAGCTAAAACTTTGAAATTTTCCTTTGTTTTTAACCTCCCGTAAGCAACCATTTGACAGATTAATGGAACGAAAAATGAATAATAAGGTGCTGTAACATTATCGTATTTCTGGCTAGTACAAGAAACGGAAATTTCTCAATGGGAAGAACCAGATTTTTTTTCTCAAAATTGACTTTTACATGAATAAAACATTGCATCGGCGTTGGCACGTGGGGTAAGTCTCGGCAGTTACCACATTCTGATGAGGAAAAATTTTGACCCATTATGGTCTAAGCTCTCATAAGCAACCACCTCCCATAAGCGCTTATGGGAGGTTCAACTGTGTTAACAAACTTTGTGACAAAAAGTACCCGGCATAAAAGCCTGATGTAGCCGGTGACTTGTGTCGAGCGCCAGCTTATTTTGAAAACCCTGACAAAGATGCCAAGATTGCTGCTGGAAGGTCTACAACAGTGTACATTTTCTTGTTTTGCTTCGGTTAAATTATGATTGTATCCATGTTTCTTTGGACACAAGTCAAAACCAGTTCTATTTATTGCACATATAACATCATCATCATCATCATCATCACAATAAGAACGAGAAAGAGAACGAGAACGAGAACGAGAACGAGAACGAGAACGAGAATGAGAACGAGAACGAGAACGAGAACGAGAACAAGAACGAGAACAAGAACAAGAATGAGAACAAGAACAATATTTACCAAGCTAACACTAAGTTAATTAGGGTGGTCCTCTATCTACATTGCTACAATTTAATATGTGGAGTGGCTACAAGTCGTACCACAAGACAGACATCATAACACCACAACAGCAAACAAACACAGATTATATCATAGACTCTTGTCAAGCTTCATAACCATTTCTCTTCACTGACTTCATTCTATGCTTCAAAAACCTTTGCCTTTTGATACTTTCCTCCTCAGAAATTCACAAAAGGGTAATCTTCTTTGAGGTGAAATTGATATTTCGTGAAACTAGCTGAACAATCTGTCTCCTTGAAACAGGCTTTTCTTTACTGCCCAAAGTAGTCTTGCACTTAAATAATTATTGTAATCGTACCTAAAGATACCATTATATTTCTCACCCTTGGGTCCTGTTGTAGTTTGTACCCTCAGGACAATTATCAGGTATAATGTCATTATTCAAGTCTTCACTTTTAATGCGAGTACAGTCTTCATCAAAACGCTTTCTTTCAAAACCATAGTCACTAAAAATAAGTCAAGCATCTTTGATTAAACACCTGAAATCTTATTATGTTAAAAGCAAGCATCAAGATGCAGCAAAAACAAAAGCAAATTAATGGAATCTTGTGTACTAAAGGCATCCACTGTTGAGTGTCAATCAATTCCTTTGATCCATCCTCGATCAACACTCAATCAACATCTCGATCAACAATATTATTGATCGACATCTCACTTGATGACTCGGTTGACACTTGGCCGACTTGCGATCAACGTCTCAATCGAGTGTCTGTCCATAGGTGAGAATTCAAAAAAATTGCTGGCTGGGTGAGATCTTCAAAATGAACTGTCTACCAACTTCACTGATTCACTAACATCACAACACATGCATGACAACAAGCAAAAGATGATCAATTTTGGAATCTCCTTACCATTCAAAATCATCTCGGTTGCACTCACAGTTTTGAACAATTTTGAATCTCTTATAGTCACGACCTGTATGGCAAGGTAGGGTGAAATTTCTGGTCTCGAACTGTTGTTGGCGACCAAGAAGACAGCCATCCGTAAACTTGGTAAAACCAGAAGCATTACACAATGGACCTGCCATTAAAATTGTTTCTTTTAGTTACTCACTTCAAGCTTAGGTAATGTATCAAACACAAAAGAATGTGTTTCACCACATTTCCAAACACCGAGAGAAGAGTTGAAAATACGACAGGTGGCAGAGTATTTTTGAAAAACATTGTGGTTTTTGGAATTGTGGTCAGACACTGTTTTGAGTGTTTGATATATCTTCGCAATCGGAATTAAAACTACAGTCAACTCTCTCATTTTGACCACTTCTTGTAAGCGACCACCTCCCGTAAGTGACCACTTTGCAAATAACCATTTTGTTTCTCAGTCAAATACTGTTCCAAGAACTCTCTCGCAAGCGACCACTAGTCAATTGTCTTAAGCAACCGCGACCAGTTTTTCGGCCAGAAGTTTGACATATTCTTTTGTTTCCTGTTTCTGGTAAGCGACCACCCAACATGATCATGTACCTGATCGTTAAGAAATCTTTATTCAGAGGTGACAAAGGTCACAGTATCTAGATTTCACGTATATGCACCCCATGTTTGACTCTGTTTTTTGTTTAGTTTAGATTTCAATCAGGTGATTTTAATCAACAAGAGACACATTAGCCTCCCACACAGACACTCTTGGGGCTAGTCACACCTTCTTCCCCACAAATGTCTGCTCAACGGACCGGTCACTTCCTTTCGCTGGCGGTTAGCCCTCGTTTTAAAAGAACCAATCCGCTGTTATCTGCATGTTGACACCTCTGTCATTTGCCACGTGCTTATGCGTGTTTAGGCTCATTTCCATCGCAAAATATTTGCTTGCGAGGGGCAAAAAATGGAAAATATGAAATTTTCCGAGACATGCTGCATTCCATATTGTGTCATCAGGCTTGGCTGTTTGATTAGAACTATTTGCAAGTAGGGTATGTTGCTTGTTATCACGGATATCATATTTATCCTCATCCGGTTTTTCTTCAGAGACGGCGTAGCTTTACCTCGAGAAAGCTATACGTTTCTGTAGAGAGGTTCTTGTGTTTTTTCCATCAATTTGATCAAGCTTATGTCTCTCGAGCTCGATGTATAGGTTTATTATTCCTTTGTCCGTTTTAGCACGCTAATCAGTTGACTGTTTTGCATGTTATATACCCCATTGTTTGACCTAGTTCAGGCAAGGCCATGGTTTTGGTGCTCCATGTGGATCTTATCAGTTGCCGGCATTTCTAAAATACTCTGTATGTCTGTAGATGCAGGTGCAACTTGTATGAATGTGAGAATGTTAGACATTTTGCGGCACAAACTTCCCAAGTTGAAGTGTGGGGTCAAAGTCAGTCAAAGTCCAGCTTTCCACAGATAGGAAGAGAAGCTATGATTGGCTAACCGCCAGCAAATGGAAGTGATCGGTCCACTGAGCAGACATTCGTGGGGAGGAATGCGTGACAAGCCCCAAGAACGTCTGCGAGGGAGGCCAGAGACACACTGACAAGTACACTCTATTGCACTTTTCCCAATAATTGTTGCATGTGAAAAAAAAAAATCAAACAACTTAGTTTCTATAATTTTGCCTAACTTTAGCTGATGAGGTAACATCTTTATGTAATAGATCAGTCAGTTCAGCATTGGAGTTACTTTGTTGATTTTTCCTGTAAGCGAGCACCTCGTGCAAGCAACCACTTTGTCTTGCACCAGGGCTGGTCGCTTATGAGAGAGTTGACTGTAACGAGAAAACCCAGAAATAAGATCAGGAATATTTAGGCTAATTAAGATTAAATACAACTTGATGAATTATAATAAGCTTGAGAATGTCATTTCAAAAACAATCAACTTGCTCCATGTTAAATGTAAAATGGCCCCAGTGGTGATCCACACAAAATCACAACATTGCTCATAAAAGTTACTTAAGGGTTGCTCACCCATGACATTTGTCATATTAATGTAAAATGCTGTCCATGCTCGGTTTCGATTTCCATTTCCATAAATTACAAAAATTGGCAGTCTTTCCCCGGGTTGAGTGACAACATCGCGTGCTAGAATAGCTACTTGAGAGAAGGTGTAGGGTTTCCATGTAAAACCACCATCCGTGCTATACCTGTGGTGAAAAACAGCAATCATAATTATTATGATTCTACATTTAGTTTCAACGAGGATTCCAAGTCTCACTTAGGGTGCCAATGACGAAACGCCACTATTTTTAGCTGTCAAATTGTCTTTTAGGGTGCACTCAATGAAATAATTAAAAAAAGCTCTTATTTCCATGTTAGGCTCGATTTTCACCAGTCTCTTGAGTGCCGTCTACTAGCACAAGCTCCTTTCATGAACAGCAGAAGCCTATTCTGTTTTAAGTGGGGTCTTTTAGGAGTTGAATAAAGCCCAAGCCATGCCCAGATAGGTCTCCTTCAGTTTAACTCAAATTTCCTTACAAGCATCTGTGAACCTTTCACATGTAAGTCCCCCCTGGAGCTAACAACACCTAGAACATGACAGTAGATAGAAGCTGTAAGGACTAGAAGCTGGTGTTCTTGTTGCTACAATGGCACTGATGTGGGCTAATTTCTAGTCCTAGATAACATACAATGCATGAAGCAAGACTAGTGGAGTGTTATTGGCTTGCTATTAGTCTTAAGGATTTCACACTAAATTGCAAATTGGCCAAAAGTCAAATCAGACCCTCTGCCTATAAGCTAGTTGCATCTTTGAAACTAATGCACATGGTCGTTATCTCTAGATTCATCCAAGTGGTATTAATATTCAGCTACAATCCTCGAGCCAAGGCTTGTACCTCTCATTCTGAAATCCAAACTAGCAACACACTGTGTTACTGGAGGCTGAATATAGCAACCTTGTAACATGAACAAAATCATGTTATAAATATTGTGACAGAAGCATGCTACATAACAGGGTTGTGAAAAGTGGCCAGCTGCCAGCAACGATCTGATAAGCCGAACATTTTACTTGAATGTACTCTTGTTCCTAACCTGAGTGTCTTAGTGTAGCGTCTGTAGGGAACAGCAACAATTACTCCACCATGATCCCCAAAAGTAAACAAATATTTCCCTCGTAGAACCTGTTGGTTTACAAATCCAGTATGATCAGACCTGTTCGTCACTTTATGCCACAGTTTTCAAAACCAAACAGAGAAGTGAATATGATGATGAATTGAGATTAACCTTTGAGATGCCTTACCCTGCTCCATCCCAGACCTCCATCCCGTGATACAAACAGATCAGGATATATCTTAAGATTAGTACTTGCCACACCTGAAAGAAAACATTTGAGAAATAGAATACATGTTCTGTGGTTCCAGTGGCTTAGAATGCTACTTACATACTTGTGCCAATGCTGCCATCTGATTGGCTGAGCTTCTGCTAGCCTGAGTACCAAACACTCTAATACTAGCGGAAAAAACTTGTTCTACATTTCAGGTTGTGCAAGGGAAAGTTTGCCAGAAGGCACGATGATTTCTGAAAAAAGCCCTCTAATTTTTCACAGTTGAGTTCATTCATTGATTGGCAGCTTGTCAATGGGTGCTAAAATTACATTTTTTGGCAAACTTCAGAATGGCACTACTCTCAAATTGGTTTGAAGCAAAAATGCTCTAAATGTTCAGAAAAACAAAGTGCTTTCTGTTTGGCCTAAGTCACATACGGTGCAGTTCAGATATAAGTGAACTACACATACGCGTATTGTACGCGTGTATTTTGCGTATACGCACACATATGCACATATATACATGGGTATATGTCTCTTTGTTATGCATTCCCGTAAGTTTCTTTATATGAAGCATTGTTGGACAAACAAAGAACATTCCTGGAATACAAAAGTGTCAGGTTTCAGCATGAAATTTGCATGTTGTTAAAAACGTCAATATGAAAGTTTAAATATTTCTAGTTTTCGATCGCTTCGCAAGTTCACCGACCAACTACCGTTTATTGACACTTGCTTGATCTTTAGCTGCCAAGAAGTTGGGAAGAGAATTGAAACAGTTGCTTAAACTCCTTATTTTAACAAATTGTTTTCATTTACCGCATATTACTTGTAATGTTTACTTTGCAGTTTACGGCTGTGAACAACTAACAGGGGCAAAAAATTATTTTGCAAGTAGTCCTCATAGTTTTTAAACGAAATAATTGCCTTTGGCTTTACATTGACTCCCAGTTAATTTTGAGAATAGTAAATTATGAAACTACAAGGAACAGTTTTGTGTTTCGCACACCTGGGCAAATCACTTGTGAAATGTTTGTTGTCTGAAGCATTCCGTGGCCTAGTCGAAGAAATGAGATCTCTGGTTCTATTTGACACAAATTGTTCAATCAAACAGTAGAAATAGTCTTTCCATTCTTCAACAAAGGAATTGTTTATTTAAGTGTTACAGCACGCCGCTCACGTTTAGTCAATTCTGTGTACCAGTCGCTTGCATTGACCATGTTCATTTTCTTTCGAAAAACGTTATCTTTTGGTTGTACTTGGCACAAATTATTTGTTTTTTGACGATGGGATTGTTAAAGCTTCCATCCCCGGTTCTAAATAATTTGACAGAAAGCAGTAAATTGTGTGCCCAGTAGAAAAATGTTTGTTTCAGCTTAGTCTTGTCTGAAGGCATACACATGTATGTATACTGTACACGCGTATTCAAAATAAATAAAAACTCCTCTCGCTCTGTACCAAGCTGTCAAGCCATTGAAAACAACAATGACCAAACAATACGTTAGCTCATACATACTAATCAGGCATGCGTGCGTATACTGTATACGCGTATGTGCGTGTATGTATACGCGTATACACATATACACATCTATACGTGTATTCAGCTGACGCGAATTACACGTATAGTTTGGTTTGCTTATATCTGAGCTGCACTGTATAGTATTGAAAAGTATGACTGCAAGCTTTAATAGCAAGTTAAGTACATGATAGACCTAGAGAAAACTTTAAAATCAAACATAACCTTGGTGGGGTAACTTGGAAGAAGAACTCGGAAATGACTACATAATTTTCCAAGTAACAATGAGGGTGATAATAATTGTTCAAGTTTCCATATGAATTGAGTTTCTTACCTAAAGCTATCACAAGCCCAGGAGCAGACTCACTGGAAAGCAATCGCTCTGATGGAGAAACACGATACACTGCACCATAGAGCAGATTGAAATGAAGGGAACAAGAAGGCTGCAAATAAATTAGTTATAAAACAACAGTTTTCAGTTGATTTAATGAAATCCCATGAACAAACAAAAGAAGTTGAAAAACTGGATAAGTAGTGGCTTAAATGCTGGCTGTGAAGAATACACCATTCATCACTTACTAGTCTTCCCTCCCTGTTTAAGGACGAACCAATTAAGAGAGGTATGCATGGCACACCTGCAACAAGGCTTAGAAATTGCAACATTCAATGACACTGCTACCATGTCAATTCCACATTGTTCTTCCTGTCTTTCTTGTCAATAGTACTCACTGATAACTATGTTATTAACACAGCAATACCCACCAAATAACAGTTAATTCTGACACCACGGTTATCCACAGATGGAGAACGAACCCGCTGCCATTTTCCACCCCTGTTATAAGTGATAAGCGTCAGCAGATGTCTCTTGCCCACTGGACCAGGTGTTAACTGGGTAGCAAGATAAATACCACGCATGGCTTGGATTCTATCCACATCAACAAAAGCATAAGGTATCACGCTTCTAAAAGAGAAAAAAAGCAATTCCAACAAACTTAAAACAAATTGTAACCTCAATCAGAATCAGTGCATTTGCTTGCTGCAACTTACACAGGACACAAGTAACCCGAAGTTCGCCGCATACAAATGACATACTGCAAATTAGTTCATTTTTATGATGGGTTCTTGGAATAACACGTTTCATTTTAGTTTAGTATCAATTTCAGTGGGTTAATATGGCAGAAGAACTTATTTTAACAAGTGAATTCATAACGCTCTGGGCATTTTTTTTTTTTTTTTTCACTCTGGATGATGGTCAGCTCAAGCCCTTAATTTTAGTCGCCAGGCTCGCGACTTCCATTTCAAGTTAGTCGCCAGCCATAAAATTCTAGTCACCTTGGTGACTAAAATTGTTGCAACTTGGAGGGTTGCAGGTTCTTTTGCCTTGGAGGGAGAGGTGTCTAGTGCTTAAGGAAATCCGGGTGGGAGGGGGGTTAAAAAATGTGCCCACCTGTCGAAGGTGTGGTTTATATCTGGAATAATCCAATTCTCTTTACAGTATAAATGTGGCTCTGCTTGCGTGCTTTGCTAGAGGGACATTTATCATTCATGGTATTTAAAAAAGCAAAGGATTTGAAAAATTCTTGCGAGTTTGTTTTTGCTAGAAAACTATCAAAGCCGGTAATTATCATGGAGTACTGAATAGAAATTTTTGTGATACAGTCTTTTTATGTAAACAGAATTATATGAAAACTGATTTATCCCTTGATCAGTGGCGTCAAAGTATGATTTAGTTAACTACACAATGATCTCCTGTAGGCAGTTAAGCAGTAAGGATTTTGTACTCCAAAGTGCAGGAAAATACACCTCTGCAAGTCGTGAATTTCAAAATTTTCTGGGGATAATGCCCTGGACACCCCTAGTTTGCAACTTTTCTGCCCACTTGTCATATCATGGTGCCAACCTGCTAAAAAACTTATTGAAACCCCTGAACTTTGCTGGTATAGTTTTGATCAGCACAACAAAACTATCAGCATCACTTTGAAGGCTTGAGAACAACAAAGCTTGAATAAAACTGTATGCTGCAATGTCTTACTTGCAAGTCAAACAACAAAATATAGGAGTTCTTACAACAAATCTACAAAGCAGACTTCCCCCATCTGCTTCCCCCATCTCATATTTGCTACAAAAGTGTACATAAAAATTAAAGTAGACCTGTATGACCTACTTTTCTGGATTAAACAATAAATCATATTTGATTTTAAACGGTTACTTTGTAACTTCCATACCTGAGCCAAGGAGATGAAACATTTGTGAATGGATTATGATATAAAACCCTCGGCAAGGACAGTTGGTATTTGAGGCCACTCATATCCGACACATACATATTTGACAGATTCCTCAAGTGGTTGATGACCACAAATACATGTTCTTCGACCACATCAAACACGAAAAAGTCCTGTAAAATAAGATCAGAGAAATTAAGTCGTGGTGGAAGAAAAGACGGGAAACTACAATGAACTTTTATCACAGAGGATTACTGTTAGTACAGTGGAATCCCACCTTACAATCATTCCATTAATACAGCCACCTCATTATTATGGTCACTTTGTTCTGGCTTGAACAAAAACTCAGTCAGTCATTTTCTTATTTAAAGAGCCCCTTTAATATGGCCACCCTGTCAATTTGGCCAGATTTCTGTGGCCCATTGGTGACTGGATCAACAGGATTTCACTGTACAAGCCTACTTAGCAAATTGACAGCAATTTAATGGTCTATTTACACTCTGATATTGATCACAGCATTATAATGGCATAAAATGTTCAATAGTCAAGAGCAAGTTCATTGCCTGAAAACCTGGAAAAAGTGTATCCATGTCAGTGCTGAGTGCACTATTTGAATGAGTTGGGGGCACTAAGTCAGTAGGGCAAAAACATGTCAACTTTAATGTTTAATTACTTAATTAATCAATCAATTATCAATTCATTGGTCCTGGGGTTAGGAAGTGGTTGGGGTGGGGTAAGTCACTGTGTGCACCAGGTAAAAACATGTTATATCTACCTTACTCCATTGAAAACGTCATGAAGCTATTATATATTTGTTTTAGAAAACCCCTTGTTCTCCTTGTGTTTTGAATGGAGCAGTTGTTTTACAAAGCTATAAGGGCAGTGATTAACTTACTCTGCTTTCTTCATTCGATGGAAATGATGTATTCTTGAAGGGCAAATTACGATCTTTCAACACTTGCAAGATAGGGTGTTTGGCCTTAGGGTCCTATGGAGAAACAAGATGTAAACTTGAGAAGTGCATATTAAATTAACATTTTGATGTATCAAGTAATTTCTTAGAGATCGATTTTGCAATAAAAACTAATGATAAAAAATCCCTATGTTTCAACCTCTCTGAGGTCATTTTCAAGGACGAGTAAAAAATAACTAAATTAGCATAAAAATGTTTCTATCAGTAAAATATAGTAATGTTTAAAAAGTAAAACGGTAAAATGTGATAAAATATGTACATAAGATAAGTGATAAAAATATTTTTCAAGTTAATAGGGGACCTAAAACAATGAGACAATAAAATAATACTAATAAGCTTGGAGAACTGGTCTGAACAATCTTTAAAAAACACATTTCGAAAATAAGACAGTCAAATTTGTTCTTACAGTACGTTTACTGAAAGCGGGGCCACCCAGACAATGAAAACCAATCAGATGGCAGAACTGAAACTGTTACAATAGATTCCAACATTTTCAAATCCAGTCAATGAAATGTCCGGTACACAACAATGAAATCTCAACTTGTTCGTTGTGATGCTCCCAACTACAGTACAGTGTCTGCTAATAAACCTCTTGAATAAGCTCAAACCGTCAAAACTTTTGTGTTATAAAATATTGTGTTACTCTACTTTAGATTTGCATTTACAACCGTGATAAATTCATTAGATTGACCGTTTTCAACTGTGAACGTACGGCCAAACAAAATATCATCATTACGGTTGTTGTTTAAAATTGTAAACAGGTTTCAACACTTTTTTATGAAATAAATTTCGCACCTGTTGTCTGTGCATGTTTCTATTTTTATACAGCTTTCAGTTACATTAATGCAGCTGACCATGAAATCCACCACACAGTTCTCGGAAAAAAACTATTGCGTTCACTGTCTCAGCAGCTGTACATTTCAGAGTTTGAGCTCCCATTCTGGGTTATCAGTGTATTGAAATAACATCTTCACCAAAAATTCAAACGAGTGTTTTTCTGCATTGTACTATCAAAGCCTCAGTGTGTAAAATCACTCCGGTAAAAAGGAAAGACAGTGCGATAGGAACATTCCCTACTCAGAGACCATTTGAAGGGCTTCTATCAAACAGTCACGACAATTTTCAAACCCTACACCACACACTCTGGTGAAATATATTAACAAGTGACACTCTTATGCAACTTTTCTTTTCATGTATTTTCTAAACCTGAACCAACTACCCCATAGAAAGTGCAGCATGTAATTCAATTCAGCATGTGAAAGTACTAATGGTTTGAGCTTGAAAATTTACTGATAAACAACAGTGTAGTCGTGTAAGCATCACAACAAACAAGTTGAGATTTCATTGATTTGTACCGAACATTTGATTGGTTCCATTTGAAAATAGGACATTTGATTGGCTAGATTTGAAACGTTGGAATCTATTCTTTCAGTTCTGCCATCTGATTGGTTTTCATTGTCTGGCTGGCCCTGGTTTCAGTAAATGCACTGTAAAATTTTAAAACTTTGCTCAACGTCATCTAGCATCTGTGTTCTTTAATTCGTTAGTGTAGGTGTCGGCAAGTATAGCTGACATAACCTGCATCACACAGGTCACATTTAAAACAATACACTACGCATTGCTGACTCACTAGGGGGTGGCTTGTCCCCTCTCACTTTAATTTAATAAATGGCCACAACAAAGATGAACATAAATTTATATCAGTTCAGTCTGTTCCTAACAAAACATCAGACACTCCACTAACCGTCCTTGTAGTAATGAACATGTAGTTTTTCATCATTTCAAATTCCTCCACATTAGTTGCAAGTACTTTTCTTTTTCCTTTGCTGTCCACCTGGTTTACTGAAGTTTTGTTATCTCGGGATTTAACTACAAGTAATCAGCAACACTGGATTAGGGCATACTGGAACAAATTTGAGTTTGCCATTTGTAGCAAAAGAACGCCAGGCAAATTGTACATTAAAATTATTAGTCATTGTGCCTAATTTTTCTCTTGTTTTAGTAAAATTTATTGGTATCAGTTTTTGTTTAGTGTAAGTGTAACCAAGCCAACTGTGAGCTTATTTTATACTAGGCCCTAAAGAAGGGAGGAGACAAGGTAGCCTCATGGTTAGGGCTCTTGACTCCGGACTCGACAGTTTGGATCTGAGCCCTGGCCAGGGACACTGTGTTGTGTTCTTGGGCAAGAAACTTTACCCTCAGAGTGTCTCTCTCCAACCAGGTGTATAAATGGGTACCGGTGAATTTAATGCTAGGAGTAACCCTGCGATGGACTAGCATCCCATCCAGGGGGGAATAGAAATACTCATAGGCACTTCATGCTACAGAAACCAGGATAAGCTTCAGCATGATGGCCTACTTGGCTCATATGCTTATATGCAGACTTAACCTACTTACCTACCGACCAAAAGAGCAAGGAGATGAATCCAGAGGGGCTTTTTAAAGGGAGAGGGCCCTATTGTTTCTTCAGAAAGGGATGACATTTTCAGACCCTTGATCCACTTTTTCCCACAAGAAAAATTGTGTCCTTTATGCCATGTAAATAATCCTTTATTGCACTTTAGGTCCCACACGTACACCCAAAAACAGTGCAAAGCCAATATCAAGCCATCTTGAGAGCGCAAGCTTGGTCAATAACCCACATTTACACCATGTCTCATTTAATGTTAACAATGAAAAATTACCCCGTCATTTTGTTATTTTGAATTTTATTATTCCAGTCACTTTGGAATTAAGAGGATTAATGATAGCCAACTCAGCACTATGCCCCACGTTGTCACTCAGTTCTTAATACAAGTTATCCTTTATACTCACGTCGTTCTTGAAGAGGCTTTTGATATGTCTCAACAAAAATTACATCTGGTAAATCAAGGCCTTTAACACCCCTTGAAAACAAGACACAACAGAGTTTCTATTTGATAACACAGCTACAGGTGAAAGTGTGATACTGTTAATGTCTCAGCACTGTTTCTTGCACTAACCAGGAAAGTGACACATAGATAAGACATTGCAAGATGCATGACAAGTATCAACAAGGGGAATTTTGTTAGCAGCAGAAACACACTTAGGGTAAAATAAGCACTCTTCTAGCTCTTTCCTTTAGTAATCTGTCATGTTTTTTTATGTCTGCTCAAACGAGATGGAGGCTAACTCAATAACCTTGCATTTCTATTAGCCTCCATGCACAAACTATATACCATTGTCACCTTTAATTGTCATATATGTATCTTTTTTTCTCTTTTATGCTAATATTGTAATTTCAAAATGTAAGTACAAAATAAAGTGAATTTGAAGTTGAAGTTGAAGCACTAATGCCATGCAGGGCTTGAAATAATTTTTCGGCTGGCGCCGGTCAAGTTGTCCAGTCAAATCTATTTTTGCTTGGACAAGAAATGATCTTGGCCAGACAAATGCTTACCAAACAAGCTTGGTCAACAATCCGTATGTATTGAAAGTTTGTAGAGAAAATCATCAGATGAAATGGCATTGCTTGAAGCAAGGAACATGAGTCAATTTTGTTGAAGTGATTTTACTGGTACTTAATTCAAGTCAGTTTACTTGTGAGATTAAGGCCACTTTAATGACCAATACTGCAGTCAACACTAACCAATTAAATGACTTCACTTCACCCTGTACTTGAGTAAATGTTTTTCCAGAGTCTTTTGACAAGTAGAGCTGTAAAAGATAAAATAATACACAAACAATACTAGCTTCTGTACAAACAGCTTTCTGTTACAAGGTAATATGATAAAAAGAACAAAAATATTGCACAAATTGTAGTATAAGCATTGTTATGGATGTTGTAGTGGTGGCATGAAAAAAGGTTAATCCTTATAAAAATACAACCAGATTTACATGACAGGCATTTTTTGTCATTCTATAGACCACAGAGAACAAAGAAATAAATGTGGTGAACATATTATTGGATGATTGAACTTCTGTGTGAGTTTTCCACTTTCAGTAAGTACTGAACAGTGAACCTGGTGTCACAGACAAAATTAACACTTACATGCAAGAATGTTAAACCTTAATTGGACCTCTTCAAGACGAATCAGAAACACAAGCAGCAAGAAATTAAAGCTAGTGTGAAACAACAAAACTAGCTGACAGACCAAAACAACAAAATGGTACATGCAGAACTCTGTATCTTTTTTTTTACACCTATAAATTCAGATCAGTGCAACTGACCTCACCTTATACATGTACAGTGGAACCCCGCCTCACAGCCACCCTGTTATTACAGTCACTTTTTTCTGGCCCAAACAAAAGCTCAGTCAGTCATTTTCTCTAACCCCTTTAATAATTATGGCCACCCCTTTAACAGCGCCAGATTTTTGTGGCCCATTGGTGACCGAATTAAAAGGGTTCCACTGTAATTAGTTTTCATTTACTGAAGAGCTGCAGTACCTTTTCAGCTGGCTTGTCATATCCCATGACAAATTTACTATCCCAAGGATGGAATGTAAGATATGATGGTTCCCAGGTAATTTTTTGGGGTGTAAACTTGACCAGATCATCTGTTCTATAGAGAAACTTGTTCACTTTATCGGCAAGGATGCACTGATGGGAAATGAAAACACGACATTAAATAATAAACAATTTATTATTGGATGAGGTTTTTGTGATATCCAGAATAGCCAAAGGCTGAGGCTGATAACCCTTACCGAGACCTTGATTATTCTGGATATCACAAAAACAGAATCTAATAATTGTTTTATTATACATTGAACAAAAGAAAAAAAATGGAAGTCATGTTTTTGCTTCTTCATTAACAGCAAGCAACACAAAGCATGCAAACTTGACATGATTACCCTTAGAAATCATGCACCGCGGTCATACATGACATGATTACCCGTCACTTTGAGTGTCCTTGACATGATAACTGTATAATCTGCAGCTAGATGACGTCACAGGTGCTGATTTCAAAAATTCACTGTACTCTTTCGGCCAATCAGAAAAGAGATAGTGAGTTCAATGTATGATAACGAATATTATTGAGCTCTATACATGAACATGCTATGTTTATGCTTTATTTCTGCTAACATTGTTGCAGATCAAAAATAAATTAACAGTTAGAAATTTGCATTATCATCCTCTTGTTCTAACCTCTTTATCAGCACTACCCAGTAAGTTGTATTTACACGGCACATTNAAAAAAAACGATCCACCTCAGACTCGAAAACCAACGTTTGAAATGAATTTCACTTTGTACTTTCTTTTGGCCAATCGCGATACCCACGTCCCAAGTCACGAGATATATGTGTCCACGAACACTAATTACAAGAAACAAATGTGGTTTATTCAAACACCAACGCCTTCACCACAACCAAAAAGTACTCTAATATACTTTCCTTTCCTCTGAGGCGGAGTACAACGCCAACGTTGTTTATCGTGCCAACAAATTCTACGCGACAGTCGTACTCTTAGGTACACAACCATTAAGCTTATATATAGCAATTTGCTGACGAAATAAATACGCATAAATCAATTACTAAAACAGTTCTCATTCACGAAAACTTATCATCGCACACAGCACGAGACCAAATTAAAAAAGTTTTGACGCCGAGTGAAAATTAAATTTTTCACAACGTAACGTAAGTTATGTTCGATGTCTTAATTATCATGTGTGTATATTCGACACTTCAACTTATATTCGACCTTCTGCTTGCATTACCCATTCCTTAGCCGACCTCGACATGTACACTCGACTTGATAAACAGACAGATTCTGTGTTGTCATGAACGAAAAGTGCCGATAACTAGCTAATAACAGAGGTACAGGCGAAAGCAGTGAGCGTGCTAAAGCTTCTCCCATTGGCACTGAAATTGATGTTGTTGTTTTATTTAATACACACGTGGGTCGACCTCGACAAGTTATGTAACAACGCTATCATACCAAGAGCAAAACACAAGATATTACAGCAGCACGAACAGTGATCTGCCTTACCAGGTGAGGATCAGCTTTTCCGTAGTATATCTGGTCAATCAATGGGGATGGAGTGCTTGGACTTGTTAAGTTCTGACTTGTAAAACTCTTTCCGTAGTCTGTCGACACGAAAACTTTGCTGGACTTACTGCGTGTAGTGTTCTTGCCTAGCAAGAACACGTAGTTTTCCCTGAAACGATTCCGAGGCCAGTACATAAAATATGTGTCGTAGTATCCAAGAGAGAACTGAAAGGAAAAAATAATAATACAACACAAAAGATCAGTGAAGGAGATTAAGCTTAAATATGCAGCGTAGTTTTTCATCATTCAGCAACCTTTGGTTATCACCCGGTAGGCTTATAAAAGACGTATTACAGATCAGAACTTATTACGAACTTTGAATCAAAACTCACACGAGAAACCTCCGGTTCGGGGCTTGCATCACGACGAAAGCGCCCGTGAAGGTCTTCTACGAGCTCTTGCGGACTTTCCAGATCAACTTCATCGTGAGCTTCCCGCGCCCGTCGAATCACACGAACTCCCTCTGGCAAGGTATCCGGAGAGGTGCCGTGCACGAAAAGATTCTTTGGAACTGCAAATGGGCGAATGCAGCCACCAAACGTTGGTAATAAAGCAACAAGGAAAAGAAAACAACTATGTCTCAGGAAGCCCGCCATCTCCCGCGAGACATTCAACAACTATCACTGACAGCGAGAATCAAACACTTGACCGAGGCACTCTGCAGGGGGTAATGGCTAAACTCTTCGCGACCTATTGTCTGCTGTGAAAATGGCTGAACAAACAATTTTATAATGCAAAGTCCATGAAAGACACAATCAGTTATAGCTCTTTCGTTACCTTTCCGAACAGAGTGAGGCTTAGCAAGAGGGGAATAAACAAGACCTATAGCAGGGAACTGGAAAGCTCCTTTTAAGCAAAACGGAAGCTGTAAGGACGTTTGTAAGTGCTTGAACCTCACGTCCACAAAATGCCATCATGCGTTCATCTCAAATATCGTTGGCACTTAAATGGTAAAAAAAGTTTATGCAAAAATTGTACAGCATCAAATAGTTGATTCTAATAAGCAAAATCTTTTAGTTTGCAAATGGGTAACAAATAGAATCGACGGATCAGACACTGTCTGTTTTGAAACACTCGAAGCAGTGCCAGGGATTTTTTTTTTCCAGTGAGAAGCCGGAAGTGGGGGTAGGAAATTATCTATGTACGCCTTTTTCACTCCGGGCACGACATAAACAAAGATATCCTTTCTTCCTCTTTTTCAACCGATTTAATCCCGGATCAGTACTCTGTGGATTTTGGTTCAAAGTTTATCACGCCTGAAGGGCTATTAGTTAAGATCCTTTCCCATTCAGGCAACGGCCGGAATCAAATTGCACGTTTTTCGTACACCACTCAGGAAGCCATTTTGATACAGTGCAATCTTGGCTCCGCCAGGAGCCCATGACCGCTCCTGGCTCCGTAGACTTTTCCTTTTCTTCTGCAAATTTTATACACTTTTAAATTTATTTTCATCAGTTCTTATCTTTTTCAAAGTTCCTGGTCTTGTCACTTTGCTTTGCTGGCAGCTTTAAGTGCCACATAAAAGACTTTCTTGCATTAACGAGATGAAATATAAAACGAAATAACAACAAACCTAGAATTATCCATTATGGTTTGCACCCATCGAGTTGATGTCAAAAAAAAGCTAAAAATAAAGCGTGAAATCTAATCCATTCTGACAGACAACGTGGAGACCCATATGGGCAAATGATTCAGAGATAAGCGCTTGCTTTGATCTTTTTGTCAACTTAGTCATAACAACGAATTGTTATGCATCGTTTTAATTGACAATCATGGATTACGGCCAGTTTGGACGACCAGCAGACCCGTGGGACAAGGAGAAAACTTGATATCGTGTTTTATTCTTCGATTAGTGACGAAACTCATACCGCGTTTACAATTACGCGAGAGCAGAATGAAGTTTCGAGCGGAATAAGCAAAATAATTTCTGGTATGGGTTACTGGGCAAGTGTTCGGTGACTGTACACTGGCCTCGTTCTTTTTTTCGTGTTTATTGGGTTTCACGGTTCATAAACACGCAAAATAGAACTTGGTCAATATCCAGCTATCTTGACCGAACGAGAAGGGAGGGGGTCAACAAGCTTGGGTGATAAAGGACTCACTACATGGCAAAAGGAACAAACTCTTCGGGCTTGCGGGATAAAGCGGGCAGTCCCGAAATGGCAGGATTTCTCCCATCTTGCCCTCTCGGGTAGCCAATCACAGCACAGGACATGTTCAAAGCCGTTTTTTTAACCCCTAAAGGTACAACGAGCACCCCGTCAATTTTATATGAGAGTCCTCCCCCCCCCGGCCCTAAGAGGTATGGTTTTGAGCAAGAGAATATATTCTCTTATTTTGAGCGGTTTTGGTCTAAAATACTTAATTGTAGGGTACACTGCTTTGTGCCGGCGCCCAGGCACCAGAGCTTAGGTAAAAAGTGTGAACACAGCCTTTAAGAGTAACCAGGGCGATGATTATTCCATGAGAAACATGAAAACGCAAGCACAATTGTCACCAAAATGCTTTTGCTGGTGGAGTTGCCAAGCTGCACATCGCTACTAGGTCGCCGAGTATTTTGGCAAGAAACCTCTGAGGGCGCTATGCACTGTGGGAAACATTGAGACATTACAGATGCGCATGAAGGAAGATGGGACAGTTTTCCCTATAAGCTTAGCAGGCAGTCACTCTAATTTTACGTCAAAACAAGGTTGGAGGAGAATGATAGTGGACCGGAACTAGAATGCTTTCAAAGGATAAAAAAGGGTGAGTACAGTTTAGTTCTTACAATTTATTATGCTACTGTTGTATTTTTAGCGAAATTACGCTCAGTAAAGTTATCTAAAAGAAGATTTTTATTTATCTCAAGAAAATTCTACAAAAATCTTGCTTTCATCATTAGTCAACAAGGATTCTTTTGTTATATTCATATTATTGTTTTTGTTTCACAGCACCCGCAGAAACTTTGTCACCCTCAACTGGTTCTTGTTGAAAGCACGTGGAATGGCTGTTTTTGTTTTTATTTTCCTTTCCTTATGGTCTTACCCTGGGTGTCTTTTAGTCAGTAAGTAAAAATCATCAGAAATACTAGTCAGTTTACTTTGAGAAACGTTTTGAGTGAACTAGTAAGAGGAGTTTACTGAAGGTCTGTCAGTTCTAAGCTGTAATATAACGGCTTCCCTGACTGGTTGCAATATAATGGCCTCCCTGACTGGTTGCAATATAATGGCTTCTCTGATTGGTTGTAATATAAAAGCCCCCCTAATTGGTTGTAAGTTTATACTGCGTTCAGTCCGGCGTTAGAAATGAATCAATTCATTAAAAGACGAGTAAACATGTCGCCTTATTACCGACAGAAAAACGATTGGAGAGAGAATTGATATTTTGATCGAGTAAGGCGGCGGAATGTATGTAATACAGCACTCTTTCTAGAATGTGTCCAGAGCAGGAGGCTCCTGGTTCAGAGTCCATAAAAAGTGCCCAACACGATGGTTCATAATGCGCGCATCAATCTTGTACCCTATTGCTTAGAGTCCCCGAGGCTCCTTCTGAGAACTTTGGCTGAATACAAGATTTAGGGCGGATAAGCTCATCACTGGAAATTTACCCTGACTGTAATTTTTGTTTCCAGGATGTTTCAAAATTGACGCCTCGTCAACACCTCCAACATTACCCACAAGCTCAACAGGATTACCTCAGATGACCGCTGTCCCTACACCTTTGTTGCACCCTGTTCCACAACCAAATTCCATGGTCTCGTTACCAGTCTCAAGTACTACGCTTCAGCCCACGCGGCCAGCCCAGCGACTAGTGTCTATCTCTTACTCAGCGGATGTTAAAATGATTAGTCCTGCACATGCGCAATTGCTTTCAGCGACCACTCTGCCCATTTTGCGGCCCACAGCACTAACAACAAGCTTTGAGTCAGCCTGCCGTCCTGTTGTGAAAAACGTTTCTGTCTAACTGTCGTGCAATGAATTATAATTACCCAATGACTATTAAATGATTAGCCAGAGAACATTATGAATAATAACATATATCTTATGTCATACCTTTTGATATTACGACGAAAATTCGTGTCCACCTAGTTATTTTTAATGTTCATAGAATGGTAGGAATTGAATAAATCGCGAGAGCTTAACCAGATCTTGCATGGCGATGCAGCTCTTTATTTCGTTATTGATGAACTTTTCAATCAGGTTGCACTGAAACGCTGATAATCTTGTCAGTCTGCGAGATCTCGTTCACTTTTAAAGATTGTTGCTGAAATCACAGCATAACAGATCGTGCCTTCTTGCTAATGAAGATTCATGTCTCTGAGTCTGTTAAGAACTGCGTCAGAAAACTCCCGACGTCTTATAAACGGTCTAGAAAACGGGCTGATTATATGTCTGGAGTGAGAAACTACCGGAGGGTAATGATAGATATGGTGAGATAGCCGAGGGGAACTCGCTGCTACTCCCGGGAGAGAGTTTGGGATAGTAAAATCCACGAGATTACGCGTTGTAGCTCGTAAGTATGAAGGCGATGAAACATGATAGGGTGGAATAAAAAATGAATTGGACTCCCGATTTTGATAGCTGAGTATGTTCTGTTGGTAAGGGTTCAAACTGCTAGGGCCTGCTAGCCGAGTGTTGAACGATTGCGGCGCAGATGTAGCTGCCACAGGAGGGTAATACCGAGGCTGCCACCTTGGTTGGTAAGAGGCGAGACCTCTTGTCCAATCCACGCTCGCCGGATTAGTAACATACGGCACAGGGGCAGCGAAAGGGCTACGCCTTGAATACTCCTGGAAGTACGTAGGCCACGAAGGCGCGGCTTGGCTGAATGTTCGATAACTTGCATGAACTGGGGGTCGATACTGATGGTGATAATGTCGATAATGCGAATGTCTTGGGTGATGGCGATATTGAGTGGAATAGCTTGGTTCGAACTCATCGTCGTCTTGTGGAACGTCATGTGACCTCCATCTTTCTCTATCTGCAAGACAGGAGCAAACCGATTTTTGATTTCGATGCCCCTTCTACATTTGAGGATCTGTATACATAGCATAGGGGTTATAACAACTACATACCAGCCGATCAAAAATACGGACCGGCTCGAGCATGTTACGATGGTAAAGGCGGCAAAATACGAGATACAAAAACCCTCAACTTGTCGCACAATATTGTTTCGTTGCAAGTTTTGGGTCGATGTTTCGCGTTTTCACCTTGCGTGATCAACTTGTCGCGCAACAAAAACATTTGTTGCGGGTTGAAGAAATACCGCGCGCTGATTGGTTGATTTGCTTGAGCATGAGCAAATTTGTTGCGTGACAAGTTGTGAGTTTGATGAAAAACGAGCAACAAGGCCTAAATTTAATTTGTTGCTCAAAGCAGACTCTCGCTCTACTTTTTGCAACAACTTTCTTCAAAACGCAACAAATGTTTTTGTTGCGCCACAAGTTCATCACGCAAGGTGAAAAATGCGAAACGTCGACCCAAAACTTGCAACGAAACGATGTTGTGCGACAAGTTGAGGGTTTTTGTATCTCGTATTTCGCTGCAGGAAACCATGTTAGCGATAGTATGCATGGGAAAACACGTTAATGAGGCAAGAGCGAGAAAAGAGGTGCAATCTTATTTTTACTTGATGGATTGTTAAGCAAGTCATTCGAGTTTTCGAAATGAAATCAACTTCACAAAAAATGCAAAACCAAAGACACTACAAGTGATTCTCTTTAAATTTAGTGCAAAATTATTGGGTTGATCAATGATCCTAGCACCTTTGAAAGTGTGTCTTTCACCATGACGTCTTGGTGAGTCCCAGTCCCAATCATCCATATCTCCCTCGTACCCAGGCCTTTCACGTGGCTCAGAGTCTTCATCGTCGAAGTTTTGACCTCGCCAAGATTCGCGATCGTAATCTTCGGACTCATCATCGTATGGCCTTTCGTGATCCCGAGGTGCATAAGATCGATAAGAACCTGTCTCGGTTTCCTCCGGAAAGTCGTCGTCATCGGCGGTTTCATCGTAATCATCCGAATCTTCGTCGTCGTCGTCATCATAATAGTAAGGACGAAATGATTTTTTCACCGTGTTGCTTTTACTTTTATGCTTTTGGGCGCAGAGTTTCTTGGTTAGGAGTCCACATCTCCCCGGACTGTTTGTTATGTTCAAAGTTGCATTTTCCGAAGTCGGGTTTTCATCATTAAGCTTGAAGAACTTTAGAAGAGATTCTTTGTGTTGCTTAACAGTTGATCCTGTAAAGAAGTTCATAATCACACCAGAAATGTTAAGAGCGTAAACTGAGTAAATGAAACAATTTCCCATGGCCTTTTCCTTAAAAAGCTAAACATGCCCATCACAATACAGCTTTTAATTCCAATGGTTTGATGCATTGACTTCAGACTGTCGATAGATCCTGATTCGATCCCCGTCTCGGCTGGGTTCACCTGTGGTTTTGTTTCTCCCTCTCCTCCCATACAGGCTAGCTCGATTCCGAGTCGGGTCTACGGGGGAGGAACGTGTGCTCCTTTCCCGAACAGCGGCTGGTAATCGAGCCTACTCACAGATGTGTAAACAACTTCTAGGAAATTGCTCTGGAAAAAATTTTGCGGAATGAACTAGCGTACCGTCCAATCGGAAAAGCAATACTCCAAATCGCGTGTGCACAGCGCCGACCTCCATCGGGAAGTTCGCCTGATCATTATTTCTTGTGAATGAAACCGACCCTAGGATTTTCTTTGTAATGGAAATGACGTTGAGACATTACTTGCGTTTTAAGCTATAAACTGAAACAGATTTTTGTGTTCATATCGACCCTGTCATAAAGTCAAGTGTTTACACACACACATTGAAGTGTTCAATGTCTGTTATAGAGTATTTGCCGCTCACAACAAAAGAAAGATCGATAATATCCTGTTTCCTGTAGTTACCAGTCCCTGACAGTCAACTATGTTGCCACAAAACCGACAAATGCGTCCTTTAAAGAATTCATCAGTACAAATATCCGGTCATAGTTGACCAAACGATAATTACTGATTTCAAAGTAGAGCTTATTGAGAAAATTGAAATTTTGAATAATATTATTTACTGAGCCAAGGCAAAGACCTACAGAAGATCAATTGTTCGGCCATGATGGGTCATGATGCTTTTCAATAATTTGATGGTGCTCGC